TGCAGAATAATGTTATGCAGCCACCATACCCGCTGCAAGATACGCCGATGCCAGCAACTAACGCCCTCCTTCTCACTCATTGTTATGCCGGTTGGGGTTTGGGTTTGGGATTTGGGGTCTAAAGAAGAGAGAGAGTGAGGGTTTTGAAGAGTTTTTGCAAAAGAAAGAGAGGAGGGTTTGGGATTTGGTGTCCGATGCAAAGAGAGGGTAGGGGTTTGAAGAGCTTTAGCAGAGACCTGAGAGAGAGAGAGGAGATGGTACGATGGAGAGAAAATTTTTTTACTCGCAAAAAATTTTCATTTCCCCCTCCATGTTTCAAATTTCCCTCCCAAATTTTTGGCAACCAAAAGACAATATTAGTCGCAAAAAAGCTACCTTCGCCGACAAATTTTTTTAGTCGCAAAATCTCAATCAACGGCGACAAAAATATTAGTCGCTAAAAATATAATTTGGCGACTAATTTTTTTTGATTGCTGAAAATAAGTTTTTGGCGACCAAATTTTTGGTCGCCAAAAAATATGTGACCTTTCGCGACCAAATGTGTAGTTGGTCGGCAAAAACATACCACTTTCTGTGACCAACTCATTTTTTGGTCGCTAAAATATAACCTTCTACAACCAATAATATTTGGTCGTCAAAATTAATGATCATTCGCGACTACTTAATATTTGGTAGCCAAATATCATTTTTTTGCGGCTAAAATTTTTTTGGTCGCCAAAAATGGTCGTCAAATGTGTAAATTCTTATAGTGAATCCAACATTTTTTACTTTTTAAAGGTGACACTTTGAGTAATGTGGGTCAACCTAGATTTTTTAGAGATTAAATAATATATTTTTCAACTCGGTGTGACTTTAGATAACAATTTAAAATTTTGAATTGAATTTAAACTGGTCCTGGACAGATATATCAATGCATCTTGAGCAACTCAAAACTTGAATTGCACATATATTAAGTATGCATATAAAATATTTGTTAGATTATCCGAAAGTTATCGTTAGATTAATGTAAATATATATCTCATATCTTACGCGTAAAGTCCTAATTTTTTTCTTCAGCCTTCTCAACTCTCTCTCTCTCTCTCTCTCTCTCTCTATCTATGTATTTTATTATTTTGTTGTAAAGTTTGTTATGCTGTTAGTTATTTTAATAAAAAAATTATTTGTTGTTTTTATGCTACTTATGATTTTACAAAACAAAAAATGTTAATAGAGCCTTAATGTAAAATATTACACCCCCTCCCCCTCCTCCTCCATCCCCATCCAAAAAAAAAAACACATACACACACACACACGAAATTCGAATTTGTAGACAATTCGGATCTAAATTGATCTCAATTTATTGAACTCAAGTTGGAAGTAAGATTGGACAAATTCTCATCACAACTCAAATTAAGATCTCGTTTAAGAATATCACTTTTTAACTTAAAAATCAAAATCATTAAAAAAGTCAAAAATTTAACAAACTATACAAAAAAGTCAAAAAAAAAATTCTCTATTTTTTACATATCTGTTCGTAAAAAATTAAAAAATCATTGTGAACATACTAATTTTTTTAATCTCATATTTTAACTAAACAATCAAAAAATTACTAAAATAATATATTTCAAAATGAAACCTAAATCTGGACAACTCATCAATCCGACCAAATTTGTTTGAGCTACACCACTAATTCACTTGCCCATCTTTTTTTATTAATGGTGATTGTCCATTGCGATTACTTGTAACTCACGATTTTAAAAACGAGATCACTCTTATAAATACATAAAATTACTTGCAACCTTATCGCTAGTGAGAGTATGGCTTAAAATATTTATGTTTTATTTCATCGCTTGCTCAAATCACAACAAAGAGAGGGGGGGCCGGGGTTGTTTAGCTATGTGGAAAGCGTGTAATTCACGCACACTACTCGGCAAGTCACAAGACTTTTGTTTGTTGCATTGGTTTCATATTCATTGCATTTTTTTTTTAAATTTTTTACATTTTTTTTAAAAAATCAAAAATATTTATTTATTAGATCAGTTTAATCACCTCTGTGTATAACAAAAAGGCTAGGGTCCGAATTAGGATCCCAAAATAGTTATGTATGGTGAATGTAAAAGTGTCGTTTGGTAACACTTATATTTTTAGTTTTTTATTTATATTTACAAAAATTTTAAAAATTTAAATAAAAATTTGTTTGATAAAATTTTTAATTTATAAATCAGTGGTCTCAGTTTATAAATTTGGCCAAAAAATAAAAACACAAAAAATGTGTTTCCATTTTGAGTTTTAAGTTTTTTTTTTTAACACCCAACAGTAGCCACTAACTGCCACCATTTTCTACCATCGTCTTCCGCCACCATCACCACCCACCACCACCTGCCACCACCACTCACCACCCACCTGCCACCACCACCCACCAGCCACCCACCAGCTACCACCCACCTGCTACCCACTCGCCACCACCACCCACCCCTCGCCACCGCCACAACCACCACCACCACCACCCATCACCCACCTGCCATCCACCCGTCACTACCATCCACCACCCGCCACCTACCTGCCACCGCCACTCACTACCCACATGCCACCACCATCCACCACCTGCCACCACCAGCCACCCCCCACCACCAGCCACCTACCACCCATCCACCACCACCACCCACCACCCGCCACCACTGGCGACCAAATTTTTGGTCGCCAAAAAATATGTGATCTTCCGCGACCAAATTTGTAGTTGGTCGTGATGTAAATTTTTATCTTCCTTCAAGAAAAAATCTGAAAATTCACAATTGGAGTGATGATGAAAAAATTTTGAGCCCTAAACATGGAAGAAGTGATTATACTTTGACAGATCAAGATGAATGCTTGGATTATACTCATGCTAGAAGGAAGGGTGAAGAGTACATGAGGAGGAAGTATGACTATGAGGTGAAAGTTTCGCATGGTTACAAATCTAGGGAAGGTTATCTCCCTGGAAAGAGAGCGAGAATCAGAAGGAAGGGAGAAGGTTCCCAAAGGAGTCATCAAATTACCAGTAGTCCTACCAAAAGATATCATGTTAATAGCAGAAGTTACTGCAGTGATAAGGTATGCTTTATTCTGTTTTGAAACTTCTGCACACAGTGATAAAGATTTTTCCACACTATAGAAATCCGAAAAAGCAAACAAAACTTCCAGAAAATATATATATATATATAGATATATCTTCTTCTTGAAGGGGAATACTCTCCTTTACATAACAAACAAAATGTTCCATATGTTTTTTGCTAAATTTCTCTCAGGTTTTTCCTGAACAACTTGGCATTAAGTGCCATTCTTGTCAAGGTCATTGTGGCATTCTTGTTAAGTTGACCTGACCTTGAAATTATTTTTCGGTGCGATCAATAAAGAAGACTGAATTGTGAAATGGAACTTGTGATAAGCCAGGTTATACTTAGTATATTTCCAAAGCTTTTCCTTCTGGTTATTAGCTGTGTATATTCAAAATCTCTCATGTCACTTTGTACCCCCTATGGATTTTCTTTTTCCGCAGCTCTTGGAGCTGATTTTGCTTTGATCACCACTATGCTAGCTGTCTCTATGTGACTTCAAAATTTCATATCCATAATGTAGGATAGTTTTAGAAAACTTCAAATAAAGTTTCCTAGGGTTAAGTGGTTGATGGTTTAGGGCAAGGAAAGCTTTTATAGTTTCTGTTCTATTATGTATGGAAAGCTTTTTGGTGGTTGGTTTCAGTTTCAGTTCTATCATCTATCTATTCTATTATATAAAGCCAACTCTTGAGTTGGTGTAGATCGTCACAGTTTTTGGATTTTCCCAAAATACCCCCGGGACATGTAACTACTTAGATCTTAACTTTTTAAATTCCCTCAAAATATAAATGGCTTCAAATAACTACCATGATTATTTTAAATTTCACACATGGTAGTGTGTGCCCACCTCTAGTAAAAAGAAATATTTGAGCTGCAGAATGGTGATAGCCCTTGCCATTCACCAAAAATGCGATGCCCCTTCCATATAATTAAGATGCCCTTCAACTTGAGTGCGAAATGTCTAGTATATCGCTTTTCGTATCTTTGGACCATTAAACACAAATCATGCATTATCAAGTCAATACTTATCATATCTTCAGCTTTCAGGTGATAGGAGTCTTGGAATTGAGAAATTATGGTTGCATCATATTTTTCACATTGCTTGACAAACATGACTCCTTACAAATTGCTGGTAGAATTAAATCTTGCAGATCTGTATATTAGTTTCATTTATTTTGGAAGCTATTCTTTCTGACATTTTCATATTGTTCAGGTTAGAGTGGAAAGCTCAAGTGAGCAAACAAGAATGAAGCCACCGACAGCAGACTCAATTGACTGTTGTGATCTTGGACAACTGAAATCATCATCTGCTGCATTTACAAAGCATCATGAGCAAGAAACCCTGAAGCAATGTTATTTTTTGAGGACACAAAGAGAAGATGATAACTCCACTACCAATGAGCAAGACTTGAAAAGGGGTCGTTCTAAATTGGAGCGCTGGACGAGTTATGATGAGGATTAGAGAAGATGTTAAAAAACTGAAGAAATCAGAGTTGAGTTCAAGTGTCCAATCAAACATCAACATCTTGCTAAGAAGCCACATCTTTCTGCAGCTCAAATGCATGTAGATCAGACAACCTCAAAGTTTTCCAAGCGGGTGATCACTGCAAGTTGCAAATTACAGACCGTGTAGGGGGTGGCTGGCGGTGGATGGTAGTGGCGGGTGGTGGCGAGTGGTGGTGGTGGTGGTGGTGGTGGCGGCGGCGAGGGGTGGGTGGTGGTGACGAGTGGGTGGCAGGTGGGTGGTGGCTGGTGGTAGCATGTGGGTGGTGAGTAGTGGTGGCAGGGGGTGGTGGAGGGTGGGTGGTGGGTGGTGGTGACGGAAGACGGTGGTGGAAAATGGTGACGGGTGGTGGCTAGTTTTGGGTAAAAAAAAAAAAACTGAAAACTCAAAATGGAAACACATTTTTTGTGTTTTCATTTTTTGGCCAAATTTATAAACTGAGACCACTGATTTATAAATCAAAAATTTTACCAAACAAGTTTTTATTTGAGTTTAAAATTTTTATAAATATAAACAGAAAACAGAAAACATAAGTGTTACCAAACGGCATCTAAGTGTTAATTTGTAAATAAAACAGTGCATTGTTTCAAGGGAATTGAAAATTTTCTAGTACATGCCCCATCTGACCTCATGCCATGGAAACACATTAGATCAAAATTAGGAGTGAAAATTTACCATACGATGTGATAACACGACTTGAATCATATACGAAATTAGTGAGTTAAGATTAATCATTTTTTGACACAAACACGTATATGACACGATCCGATAGCATGATTATTGAACAGGTCAGATTAATATCAAATTTATATAATACGAAATTAACACAAATAACTCGTATAATGAATAATTAGTTACATATTTTAATATTATTTCTATTAAAGAGTATCATGATATTTTTTAATCTCTTACGTAATTACATCTAATTTATTAGAAAGGAAGTATAATATGATTTTAAGTTTAATATAGGTTTCGTTTTTGTTTTTAGTTGAACTTAATGTATTTTTTTTGTCTATTATAATCTAGCAAAAAATATAATAATAAAATATATTTTTATAAATTAAGAAAATCAAATTAAGTTGAAATCAAATATTTTTACAAATAATTTCATTTAATAAAGATTAATTTTATTAAATTTAACTTGTAAAGAAATTTTTTAATTTTTTTTTCTTCATAAATTTGATATTTTTGGTTAATAGTGAATTTTTTTGATATACTACGTTAACATGACACGAGTCAGATATAGACTAAAAATGACACGACACGATAATATGAAATAATAAACGAGTCGAGTTAGTATTGAAATAATTCTGACATGAACTCAAAATGACACGACACGACACGACACGAGACCTACTCTACTCCTAATCCAAACCCAATATTCGGAGGGCAATTGAAGTGTTGTAGACTCACTTATGATACATCTTGATAATTTAAATCTTGCATTTTTTAGTATCTTTTAAATATATTATTTATATAAAAAAATAAAAGAATATTTATCAATAAATTTCATCTCACAAATAAATATTCTAATTAGTCCCAAATTTTTTTAATTGACCTGTTAAGTCCTATTAGTGGAGAGTTTATTTTCGCATAATCCTATTTTTTATTTTGGTAGTATTTTGGTGGACAATTATACTTTTTTATTAATGTGACAGGTATGATGTGATACTCTAATGTGACAAGTATTAATGTGACATTCCAACGATGTGACACTCTAAAAAAATTAAAAACTCCTTAGTATACTTTTCCTAAATATGATAATGTGGCGGGTATGATGTGACATTTCAAAACTTTTACTCTAAAAAAAATAAAAATTATTTAGTATATTTTTCTCAAATGTGACAATGTGGCGAGTATGATGACACTTCAAAAACGTAAAAACTCCTTAGTGTACTTTTTTCAAATGTGACAACGTGGTGGGTATGATGTGACACTCTAAAAAATTAAAAACTTCTTAGTATATTTTTCCCAAACGTGACATGTGACACTCCAACGTGATGGGTATAATGTGATACTCTAAAAAAATTAAAAACTCTTTAGTGTACTTTTTTTAAATGTGACACTCTAACATAATGGGTATGATGTAACACTAAAAAACTCTTTAGTATACTTTTTCCAAATGTAACACTCTAATGTGGCGGACAAATAAGTCTGTAACGGCCCCAAAATACGCGTCACAATTATCTTTATTTAATTATGCATTAATATGAATTAATTTGAGAATATTTGTCTGAATTTGAACAATATCTGTTGGGGCTACGACTTCGGAACTGAAATTGACAACCTTAATGGGTTCATAAATCGAAATTAAGTATAAGGATATGCTAATGGAAATTTTTAGAGCCATTTGGGAAATTTAATTAAAAATTGATTTCATCTGATTCGCTAAATCATAGTTGGCTCTCACTACTTGATTAAGTTTAGAAATAGATATTTATGTATATATGAGATATGAGCTCATTTGAGTCAACAAAAAAAAGAAGAAAAATCTGGAGAAAGAGTGAAAGAGAGAAAGTTCTAGAGAAAGAGGGAAACGAAGAGGAATGTGTAGAATTTGAAAGAGAGGCTCAAGATCAAGCTTGTATTTAACAAGATTATGCAAGATTAAGTAACTATAAAGGCTCTAGGTAAGAATCTAACCCCCAATTCTTGAAGATTAAGTGTTATGGAGTTGAATTTATGAATTATGTGTGAGTTTTGTATGTATTTTGCTATGCATGGCATAGATTCATGGAAATCATGTTCATAAATTTGTTTTCTTGCATGATTCTTGAGATTTGAAGAATAAATTCCATGGATTTGAAGGATGGGAGCTCAATTTGCACATTTTGTATTTCAACTCAAGGGTTTGGATGTTTTGTATGAAAGTTAAGCTCCATTTTGAAGTTATGATTTTGTTTAAACTAGATATGTTGCATTCAACATGTTTTTATAAGTTTTTGGCCTTGAAATACATGGAAATGAAGTTTGATTTTAGAAAGAATGAGATTCCATTCAAAAGCCGAATTTTGAACTGAAATTGTACCCAGACCACTCGAGCAGCCTGGGCCATCGCTCTAGCGGCCAAATTTTTTTGGCCAAAATTGTATTCTGAAGTTCGCTTGCTCGTATGGCCAGGCCGCCGCACATGCGGCCAAACAGGGCAGATTTCCCAAATTTGTTTTCTTTCTGTTTTCTGACTTCCGGGCCTTCCTCTAAATGGTTTTCAAGTGTAATTTACATCCATAAGCATCTCATAAGCATGAAAGAGATTAAAAGAAGAATAGAAGTAACTGAACGAACGAATAACGGATAACCGAATAAAGTTAATAATCAACGGAATGACTCGAATGTGTATCGAGCAATTGTATTATGATGTTTGTGTGTGTAGGTCAAGACTCGAAGACCGAACAACCAGTTTTGGAAGCCCACTGTGAGTAACATTTCTGTAAAGATATGTTGATATGAAATATGTTTCAACTGTTATGCGATAAGTTATACTTGCTGAATGCTATTTTGATTACGTGAACGAATGTCCTATTTGCAAATTTGTTATGGCATCCACAGATAGTCCCAAGTCATGGGCGGCGGTATGTAAATGCGGGTCCATGACACAGATGTGATATGAGATCTTGTTAGCCATTTCATTGTGGTGATATGTGTTTAATCGGTATCCGAAACCGATTACCCTAGTCGGAAGACGATATGTGACATGTTATATGGGATGTACCATTATGTTTTGTTTTGATATGAGACTGATATGAATGATTGTGTCATGATTTGTTTTAAGGATATGATACATTTGGAATTCGTTCACTAAGCTCTTTACTTTAATGTTATTCACTAGGCTTTATCTCACTGTTTTTATATATCTATGTATAGGTGAGCATTCCGGAAGACAAGTTTAGAAGGGGTCTTTAGTTGAGCCATTGTTTTGAAGTCTACCGAGTTGTTTTGAGTGCCTTCGAGTTGGGGCTAGGCCTGGAAGGCCGTTGTCAAGCTTTTGACCATGATGTACACTTTCGATGTGTGTATATGTTTTGTACTTGATGTTATACGATATGTATTGCTATGTGGGTAAATTAACGATTATGTATGTATGTGTTTGTTCATATAGATGCACATCTCATTGGACTATTGGTATTTTTTGTATATTGCTTCCGCTAGTCCCGTTTATTTTTGATTTGTACAGGAAGGCCTTTAGTAATCTCGGATTACTGATCGGTTACGACGCCAACCTTTCAGGGACGGGTTCGAGTCGTGACAAAATGGTATCAGAGCACGAGTTAATTTACCCACACACGTGTCTATATGAGCTGTAGGGTGTCCTAGAAAGAAATAAGGCATTGCATAGACGTGTGTGTATGTGCTTTCGATGAAATGAAATGAACTTGAATACTATGCACATATTGGAAATGACATGAAGTGAACACATGTGAACTGAAAGGAATATGTTCGAACTGACCTAACATGAAAGGAACACTGTGAAAATTGTACGAGATTATTTTCCTATGCTTGTAGTGCTCTACCTAGAAAATAGAAAGAACAAGAACTGTAGGGAACCTGAAATGAATCTGAATTCTTTGATGCCGAACTGATGTTATATTCCATATCATTGTACATAGAATGTGTAACTTGGTTGCCTATGATTATATATGCTATGGGTTATATAGACCAATGGAGAATGCAAACACAAGAAATGTAGATGAGTAAGAATCTTCTAATGCCAGAATAGATCGGTTAGAAAGAATGGTGGAAGTTTTAACTGAATTAGTGAGACAACAACAAGAGCAGAGGCAACAACCTGTACTTCCTCCGCCACCTCTAGTTCAAGTGGAGACAAATACGGATGATATCATTGCTCTTACACAGAAATACAAGAAAATGAAGCCATCGAAATTTTTGGGGGGTATTTGAACAGCTAAAAGTCGAGGTTTGGGTACTTGAAACTAAAAAGATATTTGAAGTGTTTCCGTATACTAACTTATGTAAAGTTTTGTTGACAACATTTACTCTGAAGGAAGAAGCTAGGAGATGGTGGATGCTCGTCCAAGGCGAGAATGGAGACTTGACATTGGATTGATTCAAAGAAATTTTCTATGAAAAATATTTCCCACAATGCATCTGAGATAGAAA